TCCCAATCCCCCATTCCCAATCCCCCATTCCCAGGCCCCCCTGCCTCCTCCCACCCCATTCCCCATCCCCAATCCCCATTCCCAATCCCCCGTTCCCAAATCCCCAACCCCAATCCCCCATTCCCAATCCCCCATTCCCAATCCCAATCCCCCATTCCCGTTTTTCCGTACCTGGTTGCGGGAGCGCAGCAGGATCAGGTCGCTGACCTTCCCGAAGGGCTGCACCAGGCGCTTCAGGTCCTGCTCGGAGAATCCCGAGTCCGGCAGCTCCGAGATCTGCAGCACGGTCCCGCAGCTCAGCAGCTCCTCCCGCAGCAGCTGTGTGGGCACAGAGCCAGGGTCAGCGGGCACAATTCCCAAAAATCCCCAAAAATTCCCAAAAATTCCCAAACATCCCGACTGAGCAGGTACAATCCCCAAAAATCCCCAAAAATCCCGAGCGAGCGGGCAGAAGTCCCAACAGTTCCGCAAAATCCTCCAAAACCTGGAGTGAGCAGGCACAATTCCCAGAAATTCCCAAAAATCCCAAGTCAGTGGGCACAATCCCCAAAAATCCCATGAGCGAGCAGTGCAGAATTCCCAAAAATCCCTAAAAATCCCCAAAACCCCCAAAAGCTGGATTGTTTTGGGAACCCCAGGAATTTCCACAAACCCGAGAAATCCCCAAACCAACCCCACAAATTTCCACAAACCCCCCAAATCCCAGGAATCCCCAAACCCAAGGAATCTGCACACCCACAAGTTCCCCAAACCCCAGCAATTCCCCAATATCCTCCAAACCCCCAAAACCCCAAAAATCCCAAACCCCAGAAACCCCAAACCCCAGGAATTCCCCCAAAACCTCCAAGTCCCTCAAACCCCAAAAACCTCAGGAATTCTCCCAAACCCCCCAAACCCTGTGAATCCCTAAACCCCACAAGTTCCCCCGAAACCCCCAAACCCCAGGAATTCACAAACCTCACAAGTCCCCCAAACCCCACAAACCCCAGGAACTCCCCCAAACCCCAAAAACACCAGGAATTCCCCCAAACTCCCCAAGTTCCCCAAACCCCACAAATCCCAGGAATCCCCAAACCCCAGGAATTCCCCCAAACCCCACAAGTTCCCCAAACCCCAGGAATCCCCAAATCCCAGGAATTCTCCCAAGCCCCACAAATCCCCAAACCCCACAAGTTCCCCAAACCCCAGGAATCCCCAAACCCCAGGAACTCCCCCAAACCCCAGGAATCCCCAAACCCCAGGAATCCCCAAAAACCCCATGAATCCCCCCAAAACTCCCCAAGTCCCCAAAACCTCCCAAACCCCAGGAACCCCCCCAAACCCCACAAGTTCCCCAAACCCCATTAATCCCCCCAAACCCCAGAAACCCCAAACCCCATGAATCCCCCAAACCTCCCAAGTTCCCCAAACCCCACAAACCCCAGGAATCCCCAAACCCCAGGAATTCCCCCAAACCCGAGGAACTCCCCCAAACCCCTCAAGTTCCCCAAATCCCATGAATCCTCAAACCCCAGGAATTCTCCCAAACCCCACAAGTTCCCCAAACCCCAGGAATCCCCACAAACCCCAGGAATCCCCAAACCCCACAAACCCCAAACCCCAGGAATCCCCACAAACCCCAGGAATTCTCCCAAACCCCACAAGTTCCCCAAACCCCAGGAATCCCCAAATCCCAGGAATTCTCCCAAACCCCACAAATCCCCAAACCCCAAAAACCCCAAACCCCAGGAATTCTCCCAAACCCCACAAATCCCCAAACCCTACGAGCTCCCCAAACCCCAGGAATCCCCAAACCCCAGGAATTCTCCCA